CCCCAAATATATTACCGTCAGACAAAACATTCACTGGCTTAGCCAAATCTGTGGCACGAAATAGATGTTTTAATGAACGGAAGCGAAAAAAACAAAAAACGGCTACTGATGAGAATCACAGTGTTGCAGTGCTAGGTCAAATGATGTTGGAACCATATAGATCTATCAGACAAGTAGAAATGCATTGTAACATTTCAAAATCGTCAATACAACGTATTTTGTCAAAAAACAAATTCCATCCAAACAAAATACATTTGGTTCGAAGACTACATCCAGGAAATAATTTTCATGTTGTTCACCATGATCAGTTTCTGAAAAAAATATCATGGAGTGATGAAAATCGTTTCCAAAACAACGGTATAATATACAAACATAATTGTCACTATTGGTCTGACGTGAACCTTCATTGGGTGCAAGAAACGAGATTTCAGTCTGTGTGGGGGGTTAATGTTTGGTGCGGAATCATTGATAGTTATTTGATAGCACCTCATTTTTTCGAAGGAATTCTCAATGGGGAGAATTTATCAATACAAACTCGACTGAATATGGGGTTTCAACAAGATGGGACAGCTCCACATAATAATAGAATAGTTACCCAATATTTGGATGATACTTTTGATGAGAAATGCATTGGAGGTAAGGGTCCAATACCATGGCTAGCTCGAAGTCCAGATATTACTCGACTAGATTTATTTTTGTGGGGATATATCAAAGAGTCAGTTTATATGCGATGTCCACAAAATGAAGAGTATTTGAAAAATAGCATCACAAATGTTTGTGCTTCCATAACGCGGGAGACTCATTTAGCTGATGTCACGAATCAGGAATTACTAAAAATATGCAATATGTGTATTCTACGTGAAGGGAATTGGAAAATCTAGGTTACCATTTAAAAAAATTGGCATCGGTGTCGTGACGCCCTATTGGATGACGCCTATTGCTGGGTCTCTTCGCAAATAGGAGGACCCTTTGACATCAAAATCATCTGCCTTCACGAAATATGGATATTCTCTCTCATTTATCAGATATTTGCCCGCGGAGTTTTATATGGGACACCCTGTATAATAGTTGCTGTTGATGGTTTTTCCTGTTTCAAGATAGTTGATGAATATTATACCATGCGCATTCCAAAATACTGATACCATTACCTTGCTGGTCGACTGCTGCGTCTTTGCACGCTTCGGAGTCGGTTCACCACGTATAGTCCACTCAAGTGACGATCGTTTTGATTCTGGAGTGAAATGATGGAGCCATGTGTCATTCATTGTCACATATCGACGCATGGATTCGTGTCTTTTTATAGTAGAACCGCTTCAAACACTGCTCAGAATCATCATTTCGTTGTTGTTTCTGGTTCGATTGCGAGGTCGCTCAGCAATCTCGATCAACTTGACTGTGTAGTCATCCAAAATTATTTTGTGAACTGTGTTATGTTTTCGTCGGTAACATCCTCTTTGGAAAGTCCACTGTGTTCAACGTTCCCGGTTCTCATTTCACCTTGTTTAATCTCAGCAAACCATTTCTCGACGGTTGATATTCCTGGTGAAAAGTCCGAATGATGTTTATCAAGCAAAGCGTGGCTTGAACAGTTTTTTTGCCAAAAAGCAATGCTTCATTTTCGTCCATTTTCTTCAAACTATCAAAAGTTCCTTTACTCAAAATGTTCTATCCCACAAACTAATAGTCCCACAGCTGTGAAATGTGTACACTTGTCTTTTGAAGGTTACGGTTAACTAAAAATCATAAGGATTCAATACTAGGTGCGCTATCTGTGTGTTTGGCCACAAACTTTTCAGCTCATCTTACATAAATATTCAACGATTGCTGTACCGCTTGAGATGAATATGAAAATTATCCATTTCATGAATAAAGAATTCCTCAATTCAATACATATTCTGAACTTTTCAACCACTGATCAGAATGAGGTTGTATATTCTGATATTGAAAAATCTGGGTATTTCTGAGAAATATCTACTTTTCCTCATGTGACCAATCAATCGAATACTTCAGTCGGTACATTGAAAAAAACAGGTGAAATTGCGTGCCGTCTGGATCACCAGATTTCCTTGCACTACAATGGGATGTACGAGCTATATTAAGAAAATAAATATCATTTCAAATATTCAATTTATTCTACAATCCTCAATTTGTACAACTACAATGTATTATAAAAAAAAGTTCTCACATACATACCTGTTTCTAATATTGCTACTTGATTCAAGCATTATAGGCTCGCGTGGGTAATCTGATGAATCTTCCAAAACTTGAGAGGATGGTTGAATGAGGTCAAGTATAGACAGAATTGATTGTACTCGAACTGACCCAACAAAAGCTTGGGTCAGTAAGCATGAAAATGGACAATAATATATGGCTTGATAACTGATATAGTACAAGTTATATCTAAATATGATTCTAAATATAATTTAACGAGCTGTATTTTCAAATGTTCAGGATCCCTAGTAAAATGAATCAATTATGCATTCATGCCACCCACCAAAAATAAGAAATTCAACGTTACTGGCATTGTAGCCATGTTGTCATCCAGTCAGTCAGCGCCCTCTGTAGTGTATGCGAAAATGTGTTTTTTCTAATGTCAAAGGTTTCTATACATAATTTCGTATTTTTCTTATTTCAAAATGAATGTTGAGCCTAGTTTTGTTAAAGCTGACTCCGACAACTTACCAAGAGTCGATTTTGAAATGATCGATGAATTTTACTTAGAAAATTTGCAGTACTTTGGTACCGAAATGAAGAATGAAAAATTGAAACGGTAGGTGGTATATTTAGTAGGTCTCTTTTATTTATATGACATTCGTTTCAGACTTTGTATTTCATCGAAGGATGGAAAGTTTTGATTTAATTTTTATTTTAGCTCGGCCAAGGTAGTAATGGTAAAATTCAATCCAAAAATAACCTGGAAAAATATTTTTCAGAAAGTAAACTGATGACACGGAATATGCAGCAAAATAGGCACCCACCGAGACCTATCTTTCAAAAAAAAAACGTTCTTTAATTAGATAATTGTAACAGTTGTTTTCACACAGAGTTGACAACAATAACAACAAAAATGGCGTCTGTCAAATTGGATTGATTGGATATTAAAAACCAATCCACTTGGCAACTCCGCTCTAGACACGATCAATTTTATTGGTCAACAGACACGCGGCCAATTTGAATTCTTGATTTTCGAATTGTTATTTTTTCTGCAAATATAAAGAGATCTTGAGACCGAGTAAGCTTGATAAGTATAATATACCCCTAACTCGATCAGACTATAAGCAAACCACTATCATTTTCCATAGCATGAAACAAGCCCATGGTTTGATCAGAATTGGTGAGAATATTAGGTGGTTCCAACCTTTTATTAGGGGTAACGTTAGCCATCATCTTCAATTAATTTGCATCAAAAAGTAGTCTAATAGTGAAACGTACATGGTAGTGAACTTGTGTTTAGTGAAAGCTGAATTATTTATTCTCATCGCAGAAAGTATACTGATATCTACTTCTGCTACTGAATGTTTCTGTTTTCAGGCAAAAAATTGGTTTGCAAATTTGAGCGATGTGGTAGTGCATACAGTTGTACCTGTTGGGTTGTTTAGTAATGACTTCTATAAGTGAAAATGGTTTACATTCTTCAAGACAATTGAAATGATTATAATTTATGGAGAAGTTCGAAAGTGCGCATGAAGGGAGGCATGTCTTTTTAACGAAAGACTTCCAAATTGTAATGTGACCGGTATGTGCTGGATTTGGTAAATAAGTTTCACGAAACTGGTTCAGTGACAAATGAAAAAAGAAATAACCACAGAGTATTGAATGAAGTTTTGGGAAAATTTGCTGCAGAGCCCACGAGCTCCTTACATTCAGTGTCAGGACAGACGGAAATTTCATGCGAGACTGAAAAGAAAGCATTGAAAATACATAAAATTCAGCCTCATGAAATGTAGATTCTTCAA